ACATTCGGATTTCGCTGGTCTTCATTTAAAAACTTGATTATATGCTGGAAGATACGTTCATTTCCACAAAACGTAGCAATAGAATGGTCAGCCAGTGTTCTTGATGAATTTAAACTCGATATAGCTACTACGATATCAAATATTTAAAATTTAAGATCAAATGGAGAACGGTGGCTTGGGGATTTTTTATCCATTTCTGTCTTGGGATGCTATGCCTACGGTGGACATTGGGATCGGCTATATTTCAGAATTTTGCTCAAACCACTGTGAACTTTCTCGAGCTGACAAACTACGGTAAACGCAGCAATGTTCTCGATCTGATTCAGAGTGATGCATCGATTTTTAGGTTCTGAATTTGTGTATGGTTTCTTGTCGAAGCCTCCGCCGATCTGTCAAATGAGTCCTGTACTTGTGTTCTCGGTAAGTATACACTGACTACCGTACATAATTTTCTCGAACATTGTGGTGTTACGTGAGAGCAACGTGAAATAAAAAAAATAAAATCTCACCAACAGAAAATCATCTGTTTTATGTCTGTCCCTTGAAAGTGACTTCGTTGCGCTGACGCTGATCATGCCGGCTGCTATAGGTGAACTCATTGCCTTTTGAATGCATTGCCAAACAACGGCCATTCAACTGAGAAAGCCAATTGCGGCAATAAAACGAAAACAGCATCAAAGGCACATCTCACGACTAGATCACTGTAGTGAAGCCACTGCACGAGAATGGTAGAGTGGTCCGCAAGCGCACGGATACACCATTCTTCGCCGCACGAAACCGCCAGGACCGCTAGTGAAAGTTTGAGATTGCAAGGGGTTCCAGGCAGCACCACGGGCTCGCACGCTAAGGTGCCCCATGAGTCGTGTCCCCTGCTTGTATTCATGTTTTCTCGCCTTTGATCCTTTTCTATCACGCTCAGTACAGATACCTTGCCGTCTGCATTCTACACTTCTCTATGACCTGGAGAAAAGACCTTTTTCAGAGTTTTTGTGGTTTCATTTTCCTTTTTCTTCGCTGTCGATAAATTTTGCGCTTGTATCAACTTGACCGCAAAAGATTATAAGTTTAGATACATAGGAGGTCTACAGTATTCCATTACTCTGTTCTTAGGTTTACACAATTGCGCCTTATTTCACGTCAGAAACGTACTCAAACATGTCGGGTAGCCGCCATGAGTCGCGATGGAATTGAATTTTTTCCGGACGGAATGCGTTGAATTTTCTAGGGTGCTGTGTTATGTTCAAAATGCCTTAACTCTGTTCTCATTCATCTGCGCTTGACACTTCACTGGTTTTTAGTCAGTGGAAAAAGACAAACTTAAAGGAAGCGATTACGATAAGGAAGGACTGCATCGGGAGAGTATATGCGCCACACGAAGCAGTTACTTGGCTGCCAAGGAAGCGAAGTGTGGCGCTTCCACGACGAAAGGTCGTTACGCCCACTGTTCATTGGTGACTTGGGCGAGCTGTTTGCTGTTGGCTTTTCATTTGGAAGATCATTTCCCTTTTAGCGGCTGTATCTTCCAACTTGCCCATGTAATGCCTTATCAATCAAAACACTATGCTTGTTGGCATGATGGCGGCTATCGGGGTTAACACGTCCGAACAACTTCTTTCTTTGTCGTCGCTCATCCATGGTCGAAAATGAACGGGCAATCAAAGGGGTACTATTTTGCTATTTTTGACGGATTTCTTTGCTTTTTTCGCCATTGGCGTACTATTGAGCACCGCCACGTCCTTGTTGACCCCTCTAATCTACCGTAGGCTGTCTTCAATTCAATTTAGGGATTCTGTCGAGTTTTTTTGAGGATATTCAGAAATTACTGATTAGCCATCCCCTTGTTCGGCAGTAGTGTAGCTGTAAGCGATGTGATACTAATGAACTTAGAAACAGCGTCAACAACGATTTTCCTCATTGAAATATCGACAAATCTTTTGAATCCAACTTGAACCGACTTGCAATTAAATTTTATAAAATAACAGGATACTGCCCTTTCACCTGGGAGTTCTTCTTTCTTAGCTGTTTTTATTATTCCATTTTGAAGATTATCTATTTAAAATGACTTCGACAAAATTTTAAGCAAAGCGTGCAGCTCAGGGAAGAGCGCGGATTTAGGGTGGGTAACCTTCCACTCTTCCGTGGGTCTGCCTCTGTCCTAAGCTAAAGCTCAGAGTTCACAAGGTATATGTCCAGGATCTTATGATAACAACCAGATACTTTAGATTCCTCTAAGTACATTTTCAAGCCCTTCACCATGCTCACAGCGGTACCTCCACGCTCAAAGTAGTAATTGTTCCACGTGGAAAAGGCGCGTTGTGTGCGCCCAACAACAGCGTGACGGTTTATGTAGACCATAGTTCCGGTTCTAACGGAAGACGGTACATTCTTTCCGTCAAGGCGCCTCTATTTAATTGATAATACAATTGTTTGTTCTGGTTCTTATGTGTAGAAACTATTCTAAAACTTATGATCTCTGAGGGAGTGGGCGGAAGTGGTGTCGGCAAGTGGCACGCTCACCACGCGAGCGGTCCGAGGGATCAAATCCTGGGTCGTGAGTCGCCCGGGCCAACCAAGCCTT